ATTTGTGTTTCTTGTAACCGTGTAGTCCACCCAGCCTTCTGTATACAGCACTCTAAATCCAAGAACAGATATTCCAGGATTGTACGCCAGAGTTTTGTCATCAAGATCAAGATCTCTCTGTTTTGCCTTTCGCGACGCCAAAAAGGATGGGTTGAGACCGGACAAATGTGTGTATGCAGCAACCGTATCTAACGGTAAGAACATTGGCGCCACCTCAACTTCGCTTCTTATTCAACCTTTCCAAAAACTTGCATCTACAAAACTGAGTTTTTATCTGCAAATCTTTGTCTGTAAGACTAAAAGTGAAGTTCTGCCGTTTTGTATGAGGCTCTAGGCAAACATCGTCACCAACAAATAAAGCGGTGCAGACCTAATTGCAATAAATCCTTAATTGCAATTAATTACCATCGTTACAAGATTTACATGTAAATCTTGTAACGATGGTATACAGCTCGGGCAAAACATGGCCATAAATCTCTATGCGCACAGTAGCTCCGCCGAGAAATTCGTAGACAAAACATTACGTTGTACTACCCTGCGCTATCTTTCTATTAAAGGCAGTGGCTCGGCAAAACCAAACATATCGAAATTTTGACATGGAAGGTTGCTTGCATCCCAAGCATGAGAACAGAGCAAGTTCGAGCGAACACATGCAGCCCCTGCCTAGAAAACTGCTCCTAAACCCGTGCGCGTAAGCCATTCTTACACGCGTTCGGACGAGCTTGCGTTTCCCTTCCCATCGTTAGAGCGGCATGTCACAACTCAGACACTCGCACCGGCCGGTCCGTCACCGACAATTCTCGGGACGGTCGCGAGCAGGCCGCCAGCCGGTACTCGAACGGCCGCCAGCCGGTACCCGTACGGCCGCTGGCCGGTATGCGTCAATGGCGCAACAAAATAGCACTGGGCCACAGTATTTTCTTCTCTGTCTACCTTTCATTCAGCTCTGTAACCTTGATATGGGGTCGTACGAATCTACAACAACATACATATTTATTGCAGCCAGAAGGTACAATGCAAAGAGACATTGAACAAACAACAAACATTGTTACATTGTACACATATGCATGAAAAATACATTCAAAACTAAAAAGCTAGATTTTATGCAACTGGTTCACATATCGTTGAACAACCTTTCCGGATTGGCTAGGCTAAAAGGTCACATAATTTTGTTTTGTACTTCTGAATGCCACATTCAACCGTTAATAAGCCGCATCCGATATTCTGTGAATGAAATAATTTATTGACAATTTTTAACTTATACCAGAGCTTACAGCTATGCATAGAGTAGCGATATGCGTTCACAGGAGATGGTTAAAACAGATGATCGTTCGGTCCCTAGAAAACACTGGGTAGTTTCAATCAAATCTTAGTCAGAAAAAACTTACATCTTTTGGAGTGCTTCGAGCAGCCGTAAGCATCAGATTAGCAGAAACGCGGTAGTATATCACATAATGACTTAGCAGAAACCAACATATCAAGGATCTTCAGATGAATTAGAATCCTCAGCAAAGTAGGAATAGTCCACAATCGCAGCATTGAGGATTATATAAAGGAGCATTCATTGGCCATATTCGTATTCACGATTAACAGTGCTTCGTAATCACGAATATGTTAAACTGACAGCGGTCAACCATTCATTGTATCCATCATAAAAGCAAGAACCCAAACATAATGTATTGCAGCTGTCTCCTAAAAAAACTTGTGGACGTCTAATTTGTACTTCCTTAGTTCGTATCCAAAAGGTGTTGCGACGCTTACCTAGAATTCATGTGACAGCAAATAGGCATGAACTCACTGACGTTCGGCTTTTTCGCCATTCAAGTCAAAATATGCAATAATATAGAAAGAAGGGATAACAAACACCATGGAATTTGATCAAATCTGAAAAGAAATGAATGAAATGAACGGAATCATAATAATGGGCTACATCAACTATCATCGGACAAAAAAAGTGACGCAACCGAAGTAGAAAACCCCAACAATAACAAAGGAAAATTGATAGAGAGAAGTTTTTTGTTTAGCAGACACAACGCGCCCAATGTTCGAAATTAATTTCTTACTGTACGCGCAATCTTGTGCGCCTTCCGAGCTTTTGCACAATGGAACGGCCGCCGGCCGGCGTTTGGCTCCGCCCAAAATGATGGAGCGGCCGTCGTCGAACGGTCGCCGGCCGGTGCGAGTGTCTGAGCCTTGAAAAAATACTGGTTTTCGCCATTTTCGCGCTCTCCAAAGTATTTTTCGGAATCAACGCGTCGAATCACCCCAGGTAAGTGAAAAACCTTCAAGTTGAGAATTTGCCGAGCCACTGCCTTTGAAAAGGACTCATAGCATTTAATTTATTCAGCTCTGCGTCTGAGCAGCATGTCCTAGATCTGCTATCTTACATATAAATAGTATTTGCTGCACCATTAGTATTGAAAATTCTAAAAATTACTTGCCAACCTATAACAATATGTGGCATCCAACTGCGATACGTGCTCTATTGGCGATGTTCCCACGCATGAAGAAGTTCTTGTTCTTGTTTTTCCGGCGACTCATCGTTTGACGTTAAAGCACGGTGTGATTGGAATGAAACGTAGTTGGTCTTGCTGTTCCACGGCACCTTGGACCACGGTTTCTTCACTGCCTGCTAGAAAGATGGGAGCTGTTAAGATGACCGACCAGTCGCGGGAGGGCAAATCGAGGGAGGAGCAAGGAAGTATTAGTATTACTGTATTGTTCTAAACTTTTGTACGACTTTTAATTTAGAGTTTACAATTCACTCAGTTCTTTCCCTGCACTTCGATATAAACCTCAAATATTCGATTACGGGCACATTCCAAAATTCGAGATCTCGATTATTCGAATAACCGAAGTTGATCTAATATTCGACTATTTAAATAAACGAATAATTAAATATAATCGAATATCCGAATATTTGAACAGCTGTTTCTCCAAGCCTCGAATATTCGAATTTTCAAGTATCAGGTTGTCCCATAAGTTCCGTCCGTTTTAGTTTTCGATCACAATAAGTCACGATTCTTTAGTACGAGATAGGTTCCACTATACCATTTGATAGAGCAAAGCAAGCTCTACAAGATTGTGTTCTTGCCTTGGCACCAACTCAAGTCCATCTTGAGTTTGCAGCCAAAAACTTAAAACCGAAAAATAGAAAAAATACGTAACTTCGTTTGAAAAAATCCTAAAAAATTCCTAACTTGCTCAAAGGAACACCACATTAGACATTCATATATCACATTCACGACAGAGCCGTTTTTTCGAGTGCTGCCATTTCGGACCAGAGCCTTTTTTGCTTTGCCAAATTTACGACCCACCCGTGAGTCGTATTGTCCGAAATGGTAGTCTTTTTGGAAAAACCTGAGAATGAGTTCAAAACTTGGCTTAGAGAGGTTATCTGACACGCTGATTACGAAAATGACACTCATTTTGTCAGTTAGGGGCATACGGTAGGGTTACTATAGTCATACGGTAGTATGGCAAATCCTCAAATTTTCGTGAAAGAGGTATTCTAGAGTTATTTGGTGTGCTGCTAACCAACCGACTTTCATTTCACTTGCTGAGTTTTGGCTCAGGATATCGGTAGTAGTACTCAAAGGTCGCAATCGTGAAATTTCGTGGGGAGTCGCATTTCAGAACTATTTACTTTGCTTCGAAGATGGCACTCACTTCGTTCAATATATCTTATCTACTACAATAAAATTTACCATAAAACTCCTCTTGGTTTATTTTCAACATTCACGTGGATCTTTATGAATTCACATTCTAACTGGAGACGCTCAGGCTTTGCTCCAATCGCAAAACTCAGGCATTTTTCGCAGAATCTTTACACAATCTAACATATTTTATTTGATAAAGCGAAACTAACACCGCAAATTATATGTCACAAGAATTGAGCCAAACTTAAAAGTTCAAGCTTAGTTTAGCACTTATGTTTATTGAAACAATCTACGCAGAAATGCTTGAGACAATGATCGCATCTTGCATTGACCTTCCCTACATTAATATCAGCAAAACGTGATCCTTCTTTTTTGCTAAACTCCTTGTAGCAACCGACACATCTTTTTCTTGTGACAGATTTCGGGCCAGCAACTTTTTCTAGTTTGGGTCTTGAAGCAGAAGTTTCCTCGAGATCTAGCAAAGACTCAATCACTTTGAGTTTGAACTCAGTAAAGGCAACTTTTTTCACTTAGTCGCTGTATAGTCTCCAAGAGTTGACTAATGCCGTCTGAGTGAGAATGTGGAAAAACAAAGGAATATACCATTTGCTAGTCTTCCGCACAAAAGGTGTATAAGAAGCCATCATGTCGAAGCAGGTCGTTGGTATCAGCAAATATTTTCGACTTGTTGTAATCCCTAACAATTATCGGCTTTCCATGTTCGTCCAATTTATCATCGTGGATGGTAGATAGCATGAAGACTTCTCTTTTGTCTCACCATTTCAGTGCGGTAATACCGAGAGAGTTTTGCCTCGCAACAAATTCTCCTTTTTTAGTTTCTTCTCTACTACTTCTTTGAGTAAATCTTCTCGGTTTCTTCTGATAGTGCCGACAAGATGAGTTTTCCTGCTCAAGAGCTTTTCAGCTAGCGCGACGCTCGTGTACCGATTGTCAGTGTACAGATACCTTCCTTTATCAAGCAAACCGTCCATCAACTTCATCACTATATGTTCAGCCAAGTTTTCTCTTCTGGACTGGTCTCTCCAGCGTAAACCGTTGATGCGTACGTATATCCGCCTTTGGAACAAAGCTTGAACATCTTGATCCCGTAGCGATGACGCCTGTTTGATATATATTGCCGAAACACTATTCTTCCTCTGAAAGAAATCATAGATTCGTCAATGCAAACTTCTTTTCCAGGTCTAAAAATCCTTTTACAGGTGCCATCGAAAAGGTTGAAAATGGCCGAAATTTTGTATAACCTGTCGCTTCCATCATATGCAGCAATGTCGGCAAAATGAAGAACTCCAAAAGCTTTTCGAATCTAACTCTTGACATGACTTAAGCGATTGCGCGTCCGCCGAAAGCAGGTCTAGAGCCCCAATAATCTCGCAAAATAGGTAGCTTTACGACTCCCATCTGAAGACACAAGGCTACAAACTTGCGAATTTCTTCGGCTTCAGTAGGCGCCCACGAGTGATCCTTTGCTTGTCCGTACCTATGTCCGTACCTATTTGTTTCTACGACAATAGGGTCAATCATATCAGTGCTGAAAAATAGGCTGAAAAAATCGATAGGAACTCTACAAGACTCTAGAATGGTATGATCGATGCCACACTCATCGTCAAAAAACCAGGGATTATGCACAGTGATAGCGTCCGACCAAGACACATTTGTACCATCGCTGTCGAGCTCCTCATCTTCGATTTCTTCGTCTTCTTCACTCCGTGTCGTCCCCTGAGTGGTATCGTCTTCGGTGTGAACATCTTCCTCGTCCCCATTTTCAATCAGTAGACGTCCGAAACTCTCGCCTAGCTCTTCCTCTTCGACATCACCTCCCTATGTGAAAGACTTGTAATGCACAGAAACTCTTAAATGATTGATGGACATACCTGGGCAACACTCATGTTTAATAGCCTTGTATGTGCGCAAGCGAGCAAATCAGAAATGCGACATATCGTGATAGCTAAATTTTGCTACTTATATGCATAACACTACATCATCACCGTCGCCGTTGCAGCCACAGCTGCGCATGAAATTTCACTGATAAATTCAAAAAAAATTTGGAATTCACATTTTTGCGAACATTTGCTCCTAAAATAGCAAAGAACATAGCTGACTGCTAATTTCGTATAGACAGCACTAAGTAACGCTGAATGCGCCTGCACAAGTGAAAAATATGCGGCGTTTTGTGTGCGCGCATGGGGGTCTATGCAATACCTACATTTGCTCCAGAAGTTTAGACTTTTGCGTATTTATTTTTATGCTCATCAGTCGTTGAAAAAAAATGGATACCATTTTGTGAACGCAGCACTAAACAAGTCCAGAATTTCGTTTTTAGCGAAAATCTGAGATTCTGCTTACTACCGTGTGACTACCGTAATCCTATGCGAAAGCTCAAGCGACCAGGGCCTCACAATATTATTTTAGTTGTAAACAGCTTGCTATAAAACTCATTTTCAAGCTTTTTAGAGCGAAAAATGGGAAAAAATAGATAGTTCAAAAAGATTGATAAGCTACTAAGTAAGCTTTCATGTGTGCCTCGCCTGTTCAGAAGCATCTGCATGCGAAGTATGATGAAATTGCATTATTTCACACAGTTCTGGAGAGTCTTTTTCCACCATGTACTGCCTACAGTATGATTACCGTAACTCTGCTGTACAGTATTCTCACGCCGGACTACGCTTGTTGGAGCTTCGTCTAAGTGTGCACCAACATGTGCCAGAATCCCATCATGTTTCATTGTAAACTAGCTAAGTTAGAGCTTCTAAAAACTTACGACCCACCGGTTGTATTGTCCGAAATGGCAGAACACGTACGACCCACCGGTGGGTCGTATTGTCGTGAATGTGATATATTGTTACTGTATTTCCTCTCTGAATAATAATTAAGAGAACGAAATATTTTCATGTTTTTGGCAAAGTGAATCTGTGCTGCTTCTACATTGGTAATCGTATACTATAGAGCAGTTCATGTACAGACATGAATTTTCAGCGCCTTAAAGGCTTTGGATCTCGAGAAATATTCGTTTTAGCATGGGACACCCCACTAAGCGAAGCTTAAATTCGATGTTTTTCGAGACCTACAGCCTCTGGGGCGCTAAAAATCCATGTCTGTACTTGTATTGGTCAATAGTACACCAGTAGTACACAACTAGTGGGAATTGCACAATATCAGTTTGGCAAAAACATGAAATTTTTCGTTTTCATTTCATCCAAGGAAAAATATAGCAACAGTGTATATAAATGTGTCTGATGTAGATAGTGTATCTGTGAACAAGTTGTGAACTTTCCAGGATTTTTTTCTTTATTTTTCGGGCGGTTGGATCATTTTGGTTTTTGGCTTCAATCTCAAGATGGATTTGAGCTGGCTCGAGTGATCGAGTAAATGGACGTTCTTGAGTCTACTACTCGAATATTCGATAGTCGAATATTTCAAGTAAATTATTCGAATACGAATATTCGCTTCCAACTATACTGCGTAGCCTTCCCCCCCCCCCAATCCGAAACTCGCAGAGATGCGGCAGATTAGAGAACACCATCACCAACACTAGTGTCTCCACCATCACACTTGCGCCGGTGCATGCTCAGCAGAAAAGAGAAATACGGTAGTGATGTTGAGAAAGCAAGCGCAAGAGTGCAATGAACTAACAATAAGTCTACAATACGTTCACAAAACGGCCTACCTGATCGGACCCTATAATCGGGTACCACGAAACGACCTAAAAATTGGATGCATGGTCTGTTTGACCTTCGTGGATATGATCTTACCTGTAACACCTGTACTCGTGATCCTTTACTTCCATCGCTTGAAGAAATGAAAGTGTGTTAAAAATTCCCAGTTTTGCTCCCCGACAGTGAAAATCCAAATTGAAAAACAAAGCCGAATACAAATCAAAGTTTGCCATTTCCCGTTTTTAGTCAGGCTCAGTTCGTCACGGAACGAAGGACGTTTTGAATCCTATATAATAATAATATCATGACTTATAATAAAGCGCTAAGGCCATCTGTCTGTCCTTGTGTGTATATCTGTCGTCACGAAATTCGAGTGAGTTGCAACAAACGTCTCGAGCCACAATTTTGCATGACGCACGTCGGCAGAATGTAGGTCCATAATCCAAAAGTACGAGCAGATTCGCTGTGTGGAACCTACGAAAACTGCGCATCAAACGGGTTCACGCGGCTTTCAAAACTGGAGCGGTATTTGGAGTTTCAACAAAATCGTGAGTATATGTGACATGTATATGTGCAAGCTATCGGCTTAAGCCAAAAAGTCACCAAAACTTAGATTTTTCCCCGAAAACGGCGTCAAAAGCGATGATTAGATTATATAATAGACTTGTCATGACTTCGCTGAAGAAATTTAGCTTACGGTGAGGCATCGTCTTCAAGACGATTTTTAAGCCAAAATAAACTCGCTAAGTGATTTAAATGTTTGTCCGTCTGCAAAAACTTTTCACTCCAAAGTCACCAATTATACATGGAGTAGTTTACAGTTCAATCGTGACGGTCAGCATTGCGCGGTGAGTTCCAAAGTCATTACTAGCGAGCAGCATACAGTTAGTAGAACGTAGAACCAGTACGAACCTCTGTGAAGCAGAGGTGACGCACTGGTTATAATAATTAAACTATAATCAAGCTACTGTGTGCTGTCTAGGTACATGGCATGTTGGCATGTTTTGTGCAGAAGGTCCACTTCTAAACCTGTCCGTACCAAACTTTGCACACATGCAGTGGCGTGCAGTTGTTTAGGGCTACTTTTTATCATCAATTCGATATCACTTTCATGATTTTGCAAATATTGAGTTGAGACCAAAGTCATATCATATTGGGCTTCGATTTTGAGGCAAGAGGTGTATTGCAAAACAAGTCCATGAGATATTTAATTTTACATATATGCCCTTTTAAGCATCAAGTTTCAACGAACCAGTATGTCCAACTTCTTTTACAAACACGAGGAATTGAAAGCAGTGCTGAAAAGAACAGCTTGTTCAGAACCGTATGGCACAGAATTGGAGTACTTGCATAAGATATTTCTGTAATTATATGGACGGCATTATCAATATCCGGATTATTGTGGTATATTTTTTGCTCTAACTAATCCAACTCGAGTGCAGTTGGCTTGGTGTATGATTGAGAAGTCCATATCATTTTTTGGACTTTTCTGCGCAGGCTCTTTTCTTGCGACCGAGATCGTGAAACGATTCAATATATTAACCGTTATTCCGCATCAAAGCTTGTCATCGCTTTGAATAACGTCCTATACTATTAATCCCCTTTGTTTATTCACTCGCGTCTATATGGGTGGATGATTGCTTAAGCATAGAGTGGTCTTATAGCAGCAGTCGCCTTCAGAGCTTCGGTCTCGATCTGCCTTCAGCATCCAGTCCAGCAGTTTTTTTGTAAACAAATTTGTAACGACTTTCTATAACAGCTGCGCTCTTCATGAATGGGATATCTCTGCTCGTAGAATTTAGGCGCGCTCGAATCCTGTTCGTGAGCGGACATTAATTCTCCCTCGGTGGCGCAGCAATTGAGGATGGATACTCGCGCCTGAATTTATTGATATTACACCATTGGCGGTACAAGCAACTTTCTCGAATCTGGGGTCATTTGCGCGTTCTCCTCATTTTCCTAAGGAAGGGTCGAGGCGCCATGCTTCCCAAAAAGCTATTTGGAAAGCTTTCTAGATTTTTTGCAAACTCAAACTAGAAAATTTAACAAGGCGTGACATTAGCCGCACTCTTCCATGCTGCAACCTTTTTGAAATGCTAATTTTAGTCATGAAATTTTAAAATTGAATCCATTTCAATTTTCTTCACTCAGCATTAGCTTATTATACTAGGCCTACCTTCACTTTCGCAATCCATTTTTCAAGTGAGCCTAGAGGGGAGGGGGTAGGTGGCGGAACGATTTGCCACTGTCTATGTCTTATGGTGATAACTTACCGAGGTAACGCGTGTCCACTGGAGTCATGTAGAGCTCGTGGCGCGGTATGAGTAGGACTCCACATGTCAGCGACTCTATGGTGATAAGACATTACGATACGGATTAATGATATTAGTGATTAGATACAATGCGGAGGTTGGTTGCAGGGTTTCGAGTCAGGCAGTTCTTGGTGTTGCTGGACTTCGGGGTCAAGCATGGCACGAGAAGCCTTCTCCATACTCTCTTGGTACCAAGGCCTCTCGTGAATGCTGATGGGCTTGCTAAACACTCCGTTTTCAGTACCTTCACACATACTGCTACCTATTCCATAGACTGGTTTGCCACGGCTATCAGCTGGTCGATCATCAATTTCATGATGTTATACCTCCTGATGTTCATGGGAGCGGGAACCTTGCGAATCAACCAAGGCTCTCTTCGTGTTTTCCGTGATAGCATACTGAACAGCAACTTAAACGCAAATAGCTCTAAAGTTGTTGAAATCCTTTCAAACTTATCTCGAAGTCCTCAGAACCGCTGCTGTATTCAGGATTTTTGGAGCGGATGTGAGCTCCCAAACGAAAACTGCAGTGTTTCCACAAATGATACGATAATGTATCCCACCGATGGAGGTCGTGGGAGCAGATTTTCAGAGAATCAACATATGAGAGATAAAATGAGTTGATGGCATGTATGGCATGCGGGTACCATTGGTACACCATCGATCAGCATGAGTAATGGTTCGATTGTTCCTTCTTCTGTCCGTTGAGCCTTCTTGGTCTTTGCCAAATGCAAAACTCTTCTTTCTTGTTCCGTCCTGCCGGCGTCATTCATGCTACTTCTGCTCGTCATTATTAGAAAACATTCCAATGAATCAATCTACCATACTCGGTATGAGAATCTGCAATTATCCAATGAAGACAAAGGGGTTAGAACTTATATGAAAACCTCAAAAATCATATTTTTGAAACCAAACGTAAGGG